TTTCATCTTCTCTTACGTTCTTCACCAGTCTTGGTCACCAGAAGAGGCAGGCAAGGTAGAAAGGATTCTAACTGGGAGAACCAGGGAAGTCTTCTTGGAGGAGTTACATCTACTCTTAGACCCAGCCTTGAAGGGCGGTATAGCTCCAGCAGGTAGATATAGGCTGGCAAATTTGCTGCCAGAGTGAACAGCTTGAGCGAAGACCCAAAGGGTGCATGGGGTGGGAGCAGCCAGGCCTTTGGGGTTGAGGCCAGTTGCGAAATGCTGGGGAGAAGAGCCTCAGAGCCATGACATCACTACAAATTGAGATAGGCTAAGGGCACCTGATGAGGTGGAACAGCAACCCCCAGCAGAGGGAAGCAGCCTATGTGCGGGCAGCAGCCGAGCCCCCCACACCCCTCTCCATCTCATTCCATCCCCTCTGCTCTGCGCAGTAGCCTTGTGCGCAGGGTGAGTGTTCCCATGTTACAGGTGAGACCAAGGCCCTCCTCTCCAGTCTGTGGCAGAAGGGGGACTTGAACTTAAGCCTGTCCTTTCAGAAACATTTCTCCCACCCCCTCTTCCCAGTTGGATTGTATGTTTCTATAATCAGACCTGGCCTCCTTTCATCTGGCCTGCCTGTCCCTGTCCCTAGCACCTGGTTAACAAGCCCTTCACTGGGTTAATGGGTGAGAAAGGAGCCTGTGTTCTGCCAAGGGCAGAAACCTCTGTAAAACCATATGCAACTTTAAAAAGTTAAAGAAAAAATAATGGGGAAGGGGCCGGCCCGGTGGCGCACTCGGTAGAGTGCAGTGCTTGGGAGCGCGGCAGTGCTTGGGAGCGCCGATTGGGAGTGCAGTGGCGCTCCCGCCGAGGGTTCAGATCCCATATAGAGACCGGTCCGCTCACTGAGCGCGGTGCGGGCGCGACACCAAGGGTTGTGATCCCGTTACCGGTCACGAAAAAAGACAAAAAGGAAAAAAAAAAAAATAATGGGGATGGAGAGTGGCATTCTTTTGTTTTTAATGAGCAAAATAGTAAATATTTGACCTGCCTGCTTTTCAGATTAAAACTATAAGCTCCTTAAGGGCCAGGAGCCCATCTTCTCATCCTTGTTTTGCACCCCACCAGGCTAGCACAAGAAGGGTACAAGACAGGAGCTCCAAGAATACAGTTGGCTGGCTGGGGACCTGGTACTTTGTACAGTTGACAGCAGTCCATTTTGGTATACTGTAATGGACTAATGAAGAAGACACATGAAGTTATGTGAGAAAAGCAGTGTGGAGGGGGACAGGGTAGACCCCAAGGGACCCTAAAATAGATAACTCAGGAGAAGGGGCAAAGGGCCAGGAAAGGCCTCCCAGGCTTGAGCTTCAGGTTGTTCTTTTAAATTGGTTTGGTTCTGACCTGTTGACATGACTCATGGCCACAGAGTAAGTTACCAGTGCCCTTTGAAATTCTGATGAACTCTTCCAAAGTCTTCGCTCTTTCATCACTTTGTCAGGGCTCCTACACCAAGGAGATAAGAGCTCTCTGGCCACTTTCTGGAGATACTAAAGGTGGCAGGCGGGGAAAGTTCTAGTCCCGGGCTGGGTTCATTAGGCGACAACCCCAGTGGTACCAACACCTGTCATTTACTGAGCATCCCCTCTGCCAGGCCCTGTGAGAGTTATCAGACCTGGGGTTGTTTCTAATCCTATTGCACGATGCATATTAATACCCATATTTTCCAGATAAGGCAGTTAAGGGTCAGGAAGCTGTCTGTCATGCTCAAAGCTGTGTACCCTAGGAGCAGCAGAGTGCATGTTCAGACCAGGCCTTTTGGGCTTTGGAGTTGTTCTTTCTGACATGCCAAGTGCCATGCAGGAACGGCAAGGAGGGGAAAGTGAGTGCAGAGGAGAGGATGTATTAATAGTGTATTAATCTCCTATGGGAATCTCTCAACATCCTACCCCCAAAATGAGGGGAGGGCTGGACATGCTGGTACTGAGTGGGACTGCATGGCTTTCTTCTCATTTTAGATTTTTTAAACTTCTGATGGAAGCCATCAGAAAGAAGAATAATAAAGCCTCAGCCTTCAGAAGCGTAAACACTCGAAGAGCTACACAGCGGGATCTAGACAACGTGGGAGAGTCAGGGAGGAATCGGGTAAGTCCCCCAGGGGTCCCTCGGGAACCTGCTCAGGGAGAGTCCCCAGGCTGGGAAGCATGTAGGGTGTCGGCTGGCTCGGGCTTCTGTCCTGGGAAGGCTCTCTGATTGTTCGCTGCGCTCCTCAAGCCCTAGCCTGGTGTCAGCCCATCTCTCACTTACCTTAGCATTTATCTGCAGTTCTGAGAGAGCCAGGAGGCACCAGTGACTTCTTGAGCATGATGGGCTGGGCAGAGGAGGTTGCCAGACAACATGGTCTGGTGGGCCCTGGTCAGGCCTTAGGACATCATCCCTCTGCTCTCGAGGACCCTTCTATAAGTGGATTTCATTCTGAGGGGAGGCTCAAAGTAATGGTGTGCACTGAGCCTTTGAAAGTTCTTTTTCTGGTTTCCTTTTGCTCTGCCTTTAACCACCCCAGGCCAGATGACCTGAGGCCCCCCTGGGCACTGGCAGGGACCAGAGAGGTATTGGGAAACACGAGGTGTTTGCCACAGTGACAAAAAGGGAAGGAGCAGGAAAAACGATTGGAGGAGGGGAAAAACCCAGGATAATGATAGTATATCTGCCAGGGGACCCAGGAGTAGGTCAGACCTGAGAGTGGTGTGAGGCAGGTCCCAGGTGCCATGAGAGCCAGCAGTTTGTAGGGCTGTGCCGACGCACTGAGCCTTTTGGGTGAGGGCGGCGTGATGCGGACTGGGACTGCCCCTGCCTGGCTCTGTGGTCTCAGCTGTGTTACCCCTTTCTGGCCTTGTCTCCTCACCCCTAAAATGAGGAGCTGGCCTAGACCAGAAAAAATATTGGATCTCTCCTGCCCTGCGGATTTACCCATTGATTTAATTCATGCACGAGCGGGCATGGGCTGTCTTTGGAACGCTGCCCTGTCTTAATTCTTATTTCACCCAGAAAGAAACTGTAAGAAACTAGGAGCCAAGGGCAGGAGGAGAAAGATAGAAATATCTGATTTTTAAAATGGTCAATATTCCACCGAGACAACCCATCCTTTTCATTCCCATCTACAACTGGGGTAAATCAAAAATATTTGGAACAGTATTTTATACTGTTTTTTTTTAATGACTTGGAAAACCCTGGGACTTTTCCTTAATTTAGAAAAATGAAAGACTGCAAGTGGTACTTGTAATGATGAATACTGAAGGGTCGGGGGCCTGGATTCCAGGGCTAGAATGCATACACACTGGGTTGGTGGGTTGGGTTGGGTGAGTGGTAGAGGGAAGGTGATTGATAGAAGGGAGGTGGATGGACAGTTGGAAGGTGGCAGGTGTGTGTAGTGGCTGGATGGGTGAGGGTAGTGGAAAGGGCTAGAATGCATACACACTGGGTTGGTGGGTTGGGTTGGGTGAGTGGTAGAGGGAAGGTGATTGATAGAAGGGGGGTGGATGGACAGTTGGAAGGTGGCAGGTGTGTGTAGTGGCTGGATGGGTGAGGGTAGTGGAAGGGTGGATGGATGGATGGATAGGATGGTGGGTGGATAGATAGATCCTCAAGCACTGGATATTGAAGCTAATCTTCTTTCTCCCTGTCTCCAAACCACAGGGAGAGCAGGAAGGTGATGAGGACGAGGAGGGGCACATTGTGGATGCTGAAGCCGAGGAGGGGGATGCTGATGCCTCTGATGCCAAACGCAAGGAGAAGCAAGAGGAGGAGGTGAGGGGGCTGTGGCCATGCCCTCCTCCTCTGTCATACCTGAGGGATTGTCCCCTGGCACCTAAACCATACCTCTGTCATGCTGGTAACCCACCAGGGACCTTGGAGCAAGTCCTGCCTGCCCAGCCCCTGAGAAGATGATGGGGTTTCTAGGGCAGGAATTTGGCAGGGGGCCATCCCGGGGCTGCCGTTTGGATCTGGCTATCCCTGGATATGAATCAGACAGGAGGACCAGAGAGGCCTCTGGCAAGGAGAAGTCAGGCTGCTGCTCGTTTTTACAATGAAAATATAATACCTCCCTCCCCTCCCCAAACTAGTCCCATACTGTCATAATTGTGGCAGGGACAAAGGGCAGTTTAGAGGGACTGAGGGAATTGGTGGGTCAGAGAGCCCAGGTGAGTGGGTGAGCTCTATCTCAGAGGCAGACATGCTGGGACAAAGGGATGGCATTTCCAGGGGAATGGCCAAAGGGAGGGAGGAGGAAGGCAGCCCAGGCAGGAGCAGAGAAGCCAGGGGTGTGGAACAGGTGGGCCTTTTGGGCCAGGCCTTTGCAGGGGCGTTTGTTCCCCAGGCAAAGTCTGGGTAGATGGTGGGGCCTCGGGTGACACAGCCTCTGCTCCGCTTCCTGCCAGGTTGATTATGAGAGCGAGGAGGAGGAGGAGAAGGAGGGAGAGGAGAACGAGGATGAGGACGTGCAGGAGGAGAGGGGTGTCCATGGTGAAGGCTCCCACAGGGCCCAGGAGCAGGATGAAGACGTGGGTTCAGGCCCTGAAGATACCTCGCCCTCCTGGAAACCCTCCCGCAGTCGGGCACCCCAGGGAGCTGAGGCCGTGGAGCGCAGGGTCCAGGCCGTGCGTGAAGCCCACCAGTTCATAGAGAACTACCAGTACGACACTGAGGATAGCCTGTGGTGCGAGGTCAGTGAGCTGTGTGGACGGAACCTGCTGCTGAGCCCCCCCGCACAGCAAGCCGGGGGCAGCCTCACTTCCCATCTCCTGCCTCCTCAGCACACTCACGCCTTCGAGGTCAGTGAGCTGTGTGGACGGAACCTGCTGCTGAGCCCCCCAGCACAGCAAGCCGGGGGCAGCCTCACTTCCCATCTCCTGCCTCCTCAGCACACTCACGCCTTCTGTTCTGAGAGTCCCTTGCTCACTTTTGAATCCTAGATCCCTTTAAGAATCTGGTGATGACTGTAGACCCTCTGCCCCAAAGCACAGCCTCATGCATGTTACTTTCAAACCCTTAGTGAGCCAATTCTCTGATTTTCCAAAGGTACTGTATAGTGTATACATGGGTCTCACCGGCCAGGCCCGATACTGGTACTTTCAAATATATCGCCTCATTTAATCCTCAGTACAACAAATGCACTAACATAACTGTTGCTGTGGAGGCCTCGTTCTCCAGCATGGAAGAGCATTTTGGTTCTCTCCACACACAGCCCCAGCCGCCGTCCTCTTGGAGACGTCATAGTTCCTTTCGAGGCTGGATGGTTTGGATGCCTAGACACCTACACACACTTACTCTTTGTCTTCCTTTGATCCAGTTCAGTGGTTCCTAAATCGTAGTATCGATAACAAGGATCACTGATGGGATCGCACACACAAAACACAGACACTATTTTGTGGTCACTGAAAGGACAGTAATGGGGATGTTGAGCAGACATGAGTCTCAGCATTCTCACCAACATCTGCAAAAACGCAGCTGCACTGTATCCACCTGGAATCTGAGTGACTCTGTGGTCAATTAAACCACCCAGTGTTCAGAACCACCTGCCAGCTCACCCAGGAGGAGCACCATCCCCCAGCCTGGGTGATAGAAGGTTTTGAAGGAGTCTGCTGGAGAGCCTGGCCCGTGGGCCTCTGCCCTCTTCCTGCAGGTTGGGGGTGGCTGTCTCCCCTGGCCCAGCTCTCCCTCCCTCCTCTTGCAGGTGACATTGAAGCTCCCTCTGATCAAGATGAACTTCGACATGAGCTCCCTGGTAGTGTCTTTGGCTCATGATGCTGTCGTCTACGCAACCAAGGGCATCACTCGGTGCCTCCTGAATGAAACCACCAACAGCAAGAATGAGAAGGAGTTTGTGCTAAACACAGAAGGAATCAACCTCCCGGAGCTGTTTAAGTACAACGAAGTATGTCTCTCTCTCTCTGGGCCATCTGCTGGCCTTGGACAGTAGTAACCCTGACCTCACGTTGTCTCAGGACTCAGCCACTTGGATGCAAGTCTCTAGCCAATCTATTCTGGCCCGTGTTCCCCAAACCAGGTGTGCATGCCATAGCCTGCTTCCTGGGATTCACGGTGCACATTAGCCTTGTTAAGGCCTGCAGTACAGAAACCTGCTGAACTTATCTAACCCAGAGTTTCCCAGACTAATTTGAGTAAAATTTTTTTCCTTGAAATTCAAATCTTCCCAAAGTAGAAGAAATAGTTTGCTGCATTGCTGGCCTGGCTGCTGCTAGCTTTATCTGGTAAAGGAGGCCCTGGGAGTGGCAGTGCCCAAACCTGGTGCTCCACACCTGGCATTCCTTGGAGCTGACTTCTCCCTGCTCCATGTGTCCTGGGGGGGCGTTTAAAGTGTCTCTGCTGGGGGATCTTTTGTCATCTCTCAAGGGAATCTCCAATCCTAGTAAATGGGTCTCTCTATTGAATCTAAAGCATCTCCCAAGTCATCTCTGGACTCTGGTAGTGACAGCGAGACAGACCTTGGGGCCCAGCCAGCATGCCATCAACAGTTGTGCCTAGAGCATTTCCTTTTGCTAATCCGGGGCCACCTCTCAACTGCTTTGTCATCAGCTGTACTCAGCTGCCAGACACAAGGAGAGAGATTGTGGCTGGGGTGAGATATGTGGACAGAAGGGAGCAGATGGCCAGGCTCTCTAAATCCCTTCCTTCCTCTCTCCAGATTCTGGATCTGCGCCGCCTCTATTCCAATGACATTCATGCCATGGCTAACACATATGGCATCGAGGCCGCACTGAGGGTGATCGAGAAGGAGATCAAAGACGTGTTTGCAGTGTACGGTAAGAGGAGTGTGCACACAACACCCTGGAGGTCCCAGCACTAGTCAGAACACCAGACAGCTAAGGGACAAGGGTCAGGACCATGACTGTCTAGCACTGAGGTGGGAACTAATACGTGGGTGCGGTAAGTGTTTGCAGGTCTCCAGGAATCCCCGAGAGGGAACGTGAAGAGGTGGCAGCCCCCATCACCACTCAGTGGTTTCCTGTCTCTTTGAGGAAGCTCCCGTCCAATGACTTGGCCCCATCCTACCTTTGTGGTTTTCGTTCCCAAATGGAAGCAGTGCAGTTAGATTCTTGTTTCCTGTGCTGCTGGACAGGAGTGGGAAGTTGGGTGCAGGGATTATGGAGGGACATCCCAAGCCAGGGGTAAGGGTTAAGTAGCTGCATGAGTAGGTGGCCAACCTGGAGGGAGCCCAGGATCCTGGAAGCAGCCTGGCTTGTGTCAGGTGACACTTCCCTAACTGTTCCCCTTGTCTCTGCTTAATCTTTCCTTATGTACTGCCTATGTGACAGGCATCGCTGTCGATCCTCGCCATCTCTCCCTGGTCGCTGATTATATGTGCTTCGAGGGTGTTTATAAGCCACTGAATCGCTATGGGATCCGGTCCAACTCCTCCCCTCTACAGCAGATGACGTTTGAAACCAGCTTCCAGTTTCTGAAGCAAGCCACCTTGATGGGTCAGTGCATAGTAGGTGCCCTGGCCTTCCCTCTCCTGGCTCCGCTCTGCACAGCACAGGAGCAAGATCTTGGAATCTGGGAGGGACTAGTGGGAGGGGTGGGCAGCAAACGGGAAAGCTACTTCTGCATTTGAAGGAGCAGGAGAGGGCCTTCCTGTCTTTCAAACACAGGAGCAGTGTAGCGTCGTGTAATCTCATCTGCCTCAGAGACCCAGTCCTTGGGGCCTCTGAGGTCTGCATCCACACCACCTCAGTGATGAACCCCCAGCTCCATCCTGAACCACCTGCCACATACTCTTGTGTCTCTCACAGGAGCCCATGATGAGCTGAGGTCTCCTTCAGCCTGCCTCGTGGTCGGGAAGGTCGTCAAGGGCGGGACGGGCCTGTTCGAACTCAAGCAGCCCCTGAGATAGCAACCACCGTGGCACCATCTGCCAGTCAGAGGACCTGGGTAAGGGCCTGGCCTACCCTCTGCATGAGAGGATCAGGAGAACAGAATCCAGGATGGTTCAGAGTGACATTGCAGAGCACGGTAGTGACCTTGGGCTCCAAAAAGCAGCTGGCCTCTGGGCTGGGCCAGCTTGACCTGGAAAGCGGAGGCATTCCTCAGCCCTTCCCCTCCCCATCTCAGGAATATTGACAAGTTTTGCCAAGTCCTCTGAGTCTCTTCCAGCTGGCTGGGCTTCACCCTTGTTGCAGGAATCCTTGGTGACAAAATCTCTAAGGAGAAGCACCAAGGCTGTTCACTAGGAAAAGGAGGGGCATGCTTTGCTGCTGGGGACCCCAGGTACCTCCAGGGTAGGGAAAAAAGGTCCCCTTGCTGTGAGTGGCCAGTGACTGCAGGCAGGATTCCTGGGGTGCCCAATGAGTGGGCACGTAGAGCCTGCTGCCCCACAACCTGTTCCTCCCGGCTGCTCCAGCCCCTGGGGGCAGAGGCCCCAAAGAGTTTCCCATGCAAGGCTTCTTCCCTCGGCCAAGTGCAAAGTAGCACAATCCTCCACCCACCCAGCTTTTGTGCCTGGGGAGGGCCCTGGCCCTGCTGCCATAAGAGCCTGCTGCCCCACAACCTGTTCCTCCCGGCTGCTCCAGCCCCTGGGGGCAGAGGCCCCAAAGAGTTCCCCATGCAAGGCTTCTTCCCTCGGCCAAGTGCAAGGTAGCACAATCCTCCACCCACCCAGCTTTTGTGCCTGGGGAGGGCCCTGGCCCTGCTGCCATGTGGCTAAATGTCCTTCTAGACTGGATCAGCCCCCAGGCTGGGGGTGGTCTCTTCAGGATCCTAGCAGTTCACTCCTGCACATAAAACCCTGAGTTACCACTGAGTTACCACAAGTTGCCTGGCTTTTTCTGGTTCTTGTCTCAGTTTGGTGTCCAGCCTGTGTCCCTCCCTGTAGGCCCTGCTCTGTCTGGGATCATCCGGGATCCCTCCACACCCAGCACCAGCAAGGTTCCCTGACACAAACAGAAAAGGCAGAGAGGACTTGTACAAAGGCTTTGTAAAACCAGAGGCTCTTTCTATTGTTGTCTGATGTTATTCTGGTTCAGGCTGAGTAATAAACATCACTGGAACTAGCTGTGAGGGAAAAAAAGACTTCAGTTTTTTAATTTTTTCCCTTGGTTTGTGGTTCTGCATTTGGATTTGAGAACCCAGGATTGGGATTTTCTTGGCACAGTTAGATCTCCGGTCCCTGTTCCTGTTCTTGTCTAAGGATGCAGGAGGAGCACTGAGCCCCTGCAGCCGCCCCCGCCTCTGATCCCTATCTGCTCCTGCAGTGTTACCTTCCAGAGCCAGGTGCTGCTATGACCTCAAGAGAAGGTTCAGGGGAAAGTGACTGTACTGCTCTCTCTAGACATGGGATGGGACCCAGTCCATGCCTCCTCTGCCCTCACTGGGGAAAACCTGGCAGAAACCAATACCTCACAATGGGATCTGCCAGGTTCAGCAGGTTTGGGCACAGAGGAACACACCAGCCTTGGCGGGCGGCAGGAAGGAAGGGTCACCTTGGTACCCTGCCCTAAAGAGGCCCAGCCTGCAGGGTGAGGCAGTCATTGTTTGAGTTAAGGGGCACATTCCCTACTTGATGGTTTCCACTCATCCTAGTACGGTGAGAGAAGGTCCTCAAAGGAGACCACAGCATAACCTGGTGGCTGTGACATCTGGTGGATGAATGAGTAATTGGTTCCATGGGGTCAAGCCCACCCAGGCACTGAGGGCACGAAAGTAAAGGAGCAAGTCCTGAATATTGGCAAGGGTGTGAATCATCCCCTCTTAAGTCAGACCCTTGACCTGTGTTGGGATGTGAGTCGGCCCTGCTCTACACCTGACTCTCCCTGATGGAAGAGTATAAAAAGCACTCCTCGTTTTTAAATAGACATTCCACAGCCGGCACGTCTTGATGAGCTTTGAGGAATCTCACTGTGGGATTACGCGCTCACTTCATTGGTTCTCTCTGTTCAGAAGCCTTTGAGGGTAGCCTCATTAGTGTTGAAGGTGATATCATCTTGGGCATATTCTCAGGATTGTAAATGTTCTTCCTCTGAGGGTGCATTTGAGTTTTAGAGTCACAAGTTGGCTTAAGCCAAATCTGATGAAGAAGATGGATCAAGCTGCGTACTCATTTTTTTTTTCCTTTTTGTCTTTTTTCGTGACCGGTAACGGGATTGCAACCCTCGGTGTCGCGCCCGTACTGCGACCGGCAACGGGATCGCAACCCTCGGTGTCGTGCCCACACCGCGCTCACTCAGTGAGCAGACCAGTCTCTATATGGGATCCAAACCCTCGGCGGGAGCGCCACTGCGCTCCCAAGTGCCGCACTCTACCTAGTGCGCCACCGGGCCTGCCAAGCTGCGTAATCATTTTTAATCAGAACGGAATAGAAAGTGATTGGTGGGGTTCACAAACTTTTCACAGAAGCTGCAACTTCTTTTGGAGCTGAGTTGCCCTTAGCCAGCCACTGCTCAAGGACATCCGTGTGGCAATGTCCAGGAACAGAATAGAAAGTGATTGGTGGGGTTCACAAACTTTTCACAGAAGCTGCAACTTTTGGAGCTGAGTTGCCCTTAGCCAGCCACTGCTCAAGGACATCCGTGTGGCAATGTCCATACTTACTTGCTTGCTCGTAAGAGGTTTTTTTTTTAAATCTCCTTTCTGGTTTCTCCCACCGGCTTTCCTACTGATACTCTTGTAAATCTTTGAGACACTTTCTATCCCAAATCAGGCAGGAACAAAACAGGAATGGACGAAGCACCTTGTCCCATTCCCAGTCTGGAACTTGAACCTTCCTTTCTCTCCGCTTTGCCCTAGTCCCAAATATCTGCACAAATGTCTGTACCCATTGGACACTAATTCCCCATTTCCCCTTACCTTATTTTCAGCCCCTGGCAACCGCCATTCTACTTTCTGTCTCTATGAATTTGACTTTTGTAGATACCTCCTATAAGTGGAATGAGAGCAGTTGTCTTTTTGTGATTGGCTTATTTCATGTAGCATAATGTCCTCAAGGTTCATCCATATTATAGAATGTGTCCATTTCCTCTTTAAGGCTGAGTAATATTCCATTGTATGCATATACCACATTTTGTTTATCTACTCATTTGCTGATAAGACACTTAGTTTTTTTACCTTTTAGCTATTGCAAATAATGCTGTGGACGTGGATGAGCAAGTATCTCTCAAGAGACCCTGCTTTCTTTTAGATATATACCTAGAAGAGGATTTGCTGGATCATGTCAGAACTTTTTAACTTTTTGAGGAATTGCCGTCCTGTTTTTTATTCATTTTTCATTCCCTGTCTTTTATTCATTTTACATTCCATTTTACATTCCCACCAACAGTGCACAAGTGTTCCAATTTCTCCATGTCCTTGTTTTGTTTTGTTTTTTATAATAGCCATCCTAATGGGTGTGAGGTGGTATCTTGTGGTTTGACTTGGGCTGTGTTTTAATCAGATGTTGGGGTCCTTAGGTGGTCTGTACATACAGAGAGTTAGGAACCATTGAAGAAGTGTGTATTGCTTGCCAGTCTTAAAACTATGAGTTTACAATTGAGTTGGGGGCTGTAGGAATCTAGAAAATGCTTTTAAAATAGGAAACACTGGTCCTTACGGCTGGTTAGATGAAGATTCGTCAATCAGCAGTTTCCCTCTCTGCAGACTCCTCGGTACTGGGCCCCCATACTTATAGCCTGTCCTTGAGGTTGTGCAGAGTTAGGTAACAGCGTTGCTAGACCTACCGAAAGTCTCGCAACCCTGGTGCAATTTTACTTCAATCACAACCACCACAATAGCTATGCTCAAAAATTCCAAATTTCTTACACCATCAACCCCTAGCCCCCTTTTTGCCAGAGTCCGCTTAGAACAGAGACTCTCAGTTCTGCACATTGGAACCACCTGGGGAGCTTTTAAAAAGATAGATTCCAGGGCCTCACCCTGAGATTCCAATTTAAGCAGCCTGGGCATTAAAAGATCTTCAGGAAATTCTAATGTGCAGCAGAAAGTCTAATATTCCTACTCTTTCCCACCTCTAGAACCACAGACTTAGGATGAGCCCTAAATTGTGGAAATTCACAGCCACTGTCACCTCCTTTCAGTATAATGACTTCTCAAGGAGTGAGTCACTGGCCCCAGGTTTCTGCAGTAAGATCTTAAGCTCTGATCCCTGCCCTCAGAGTGTGTGAGTGAGTGTGTGTGTGTGTGTGTGTGCGCGCGCGCGTGTGCACAAGTGCGCTTTAAACTCTTATGGTGCCATAGCAGATGTCTGCAAGAATTTTACTATGGGGTTCAAAGGAAGCCGTCAGCTCTACCTTGGGTCCAGCAAAGCACATTAGGGAGACTTCTTGTCTACCTAAAAGGTGCTGTCAGCAGGACACCAGCAGGGGCAGAAGGAGGGGACACTAAACCAGTCATTGTTTCCTAGAAGTGGCTCCATAAGAAGTTTCCATTTAAAAAGTTCAACCTTGGGCCGGCCCGGTGGCGCACTGCTACAGTGCACTGCTACAGTGCACCGCTTGGGAGCGCGGCGGCGCTCCCGCAGAGGGTTCAGATCCCACATACAGACCGGTTCCCGCTTACTGGCTGAGCAAGGTGTGGGAGCAACACCGAGGGTTGCGATCCCGTTGTGGGTCCCGGCCCGGTACGGGCGCAGCACTGAGGGTTGCGATCCGTTGCCAGACACGAAAAAAGACAAAAAGGAAAAAATGGGTCCCGGCCTGGTACGGGCGCAACACTGAGGGTTGCGATCCGTTGCCAGACACGAAAAAAGACAAAAAGGAAAAAAAAAATAAAAAGTTCAACCTTAATTTAATGAGAATCATACCTTGAGTTCTTTTAGTACCTCTGTCCTCCCATGAGTGCTAATCAGGGCACCTCAGTTTCCTTATGTGTAAAATGGTGATTAAAATTAAAGTGCTCATAAAATCATATACAATGATAGATGTTTACCTGTATACTAAGTGGTTCTCAACAGGGGTGATTTCCTCCCCCCTGGGGACATTTGACAATGTCTGGAGACATTTTTGGTTGTCACAACTGGAGGGAGGTGCGACTGGCATCTAGTGGGTGGGGGCCAGGGATGCTGCTGAGCCTCGTCCAGTCACGGGGCAGTCTCCACAACAAGGACTTGTCCAGCCCCAAATGTCAGTAGTGCCAGGCCGGGATCGAGAAACTGCCCCATACACATGTATGGGGACTAACATTGTTTCTTTTACAAAATGGAATCATTTACATTTTAATCACTCAGATAGGTAAAACAGTGGTGTCTCATTGTTACTGCAAGTTGCAATTCCCTATTAATAAATCTGAACATCTTTATGTGTATTTATTGATTATTCTGATTTGCCCTTCTGAGAATTGCGTATTTGTATTCATTGCCCCTTTTCTTTTAAAAAAATTTTATTGAAACATACTGATTGTACATATTTATGGGGTACAGAGTTATATTCCAATTCATGCATACAATATGTACTCATCTATTCAG